CAACACTGCAGCCTATAGACAAGCTGCCATCGTGCTGATTCGGCCTCAGGAAGCCTGTATTAACAAAATCCACAGAAGGTACAAAAATATTTTATTTAAATGTCAAAGAAAAATAATTAAACAGTGATTAAAAGCTCGTAAGTTAAACAAATGTTAAAACCTCCCATAATTTACACAATAAACACCTAGAGTGACATCGCAGTACAGGAAAACAGAAAATGCTTTCAACTGGTCCTGTCTCCTAACGAGACTCTTCTAGAAAGGATACCGGAAGCCCTCGATTCGATTAAGGCCCTGGCAGAATCATCTGACACCCAGGCAGCTCACACAACAACCCAGCTTCATGAAGGTGCTCGCCGGGAAACGCTTTTCAGTGGCTGATTACTAAAGGAGAAGAAACATCACCAGATTTGGACACCACTTCTTCGATCAAAGGTTCAGGCAATTAGCATTTCAAAAGAGCTGACTTCTCTCTAACCCAAGACATCTGAAAATGACTTCTCTCTAACCCAAGACATCTGAAAATTTCAATCAGCAACTGAGGTGACTAGCACACAAACAAGCTACCATTTATCCTCAGTCAGATACCCCTGAAAACTCAGTCAATGGAGGTGAAGACTGTGCGCACGAGAAATTCTTTATTCTGATTTTGCCACAGGTCTGCGAAGCCCCGTCACCCAAGGAGAATGCCACCTGTCGTCCAAGCAGAGTGTCAGCCGTGCTTCTCAGTCACCTGCTGTGACGCTGTCCACCCGTGGAGGGGCCATCGTGCATTCTGAGCGGCATCCTCTGAAATCTGAAAGAAAAGCAGTGCTTACGTCCCAGCGGAATATCCTACGACCTACCAATAACCAAAGCAATGTGTCCTGGAGACGGTGCAGCAGAATGCTCCTTGGATGGGGAAGCTGTCTTGCATATGTGAGCCATGTTGCTAGAGAGGCTAGTCCTGTGACTGCAGCAATGGGCTGGTGTAACAGAGAGTGGATGACACAGGAGAGGGCAGGGCTCAGATCTGTTGTTCATAAGGTCACTGTGAGTCATACTCAATCCGACAACACCCAACAACAGCGTGTCCCACGTAAGCCCTTTCCGCCTCCAGCTCCTGGACCTGCCGACGGGGCACAGTTTAGTTACACACCTACAGCCCTACTCACTCTCCATCAGCACGATAAATTCACGGCAGCACAGAGTAGCTCACAAAAACCCGTGGAAACGTGAAACTCAGGGGCGAGAAAGATTAGAAGGGAGGGGCAGGGTCCTCTGAGAGAGCTCCCACAGAGGCGTGAGCCTACCCAGGGGCCCCCAGGGACAGTGGACACGCACAGCTCACAGGGAAGCTCTGGGGACCTCAAAGCATATGACAGATGGAGGGCAGCTGGGACCGGTGATGGGCACGCCTGGCCATGCTCTCTGCAGCGTGATGACAAGGCCACATCCATCTCCTTATGTGGCGACGGTAGCTGCCCTCAAATCCTGATGCGGGGAAGCGGGCTGCTCGCTGAAACACCAGCTGACTGCCCACGGTTTACCCAGTGCATTAACTTTCACTCTGCGGACCTCGGGGCTCCTATCTCCACTCCTGGATGGACAAGGCTCTTCGGGAGCTACTATTACAGACGTGGAGGAGAGCCTGCCTTCCCTCCGTGACCTGAGCATGCAGCGTGGGTCCCCACAATGTGAACTGACTCCCCTGGCAGAACAGCTGTGTGAGGCCAGGGAAGCAACTGGGGGTGTGCAGAGAGGGAGGAGGTCCACAGCAGCAAGGAGCCGGGACAGCGGGGCAGCGGGGCAGCGGGGCAGCGGGGCAGCGGGACAGCGGGGCAGCGGG